ATTCTTCACTCATGTTCTTTTGCTCAATTTCTCCCCTCTTTGTATCTATCTTATTGTTTCTTTGTATACATTCGTCTTATGTAAAAAGAACGACGTAGTCCCGCCTGTACATTACGCCAGGTTCGGCACGAGCTCTGTGGCTGCTAAACACACTAAAAGCCTAGCAGTAGTCTCTATGCGGCCAGGTGTCAACCGTGGTTACACGTTATTAAGATTTTAATTATTTTATATAAATATTAATAAATTTAATGCGACAATTATATGACGTAATCAATGGAATTGCTCATTTTGTATGCAGGGCAAATTAATTTCTGGAATCTATTTAAGCATTATATACAGAGTGCAATTTATTCAATAATAAATAATACAATTTTTGGAATTTGATTTAGATTATTTGTAAAAAAAATTGTTAAACTGATTTATATATAGTACATGCAACGAAGAAATATGCGCGACGACGTAGTACAAGAGATCTCATGTTTGTCTAATGAATTAACGTGTCACGCGAATAAAGCTAAAAAAATCCGCGACAAGGAAGAAGATCCTTTTTTTATGGCGTAACCACAGCTTTTAAGAGCGCTGTAAAATTACGATGCAGTGGCGCTTTGAAGCTGTTTGCTTTACCAGCCAGGTCATTAATTGACTTCTCGCGTATTCACGTGTTCTTTAACGTGTATCCACGGCTAATGCTCGTCCTCGCCAAAGTAGAAAAATCCTATTCTGTAACGCGCCAGTGTTCCTCAGTACATCTGCTGTTTACATAAATCTCTACTTCCTATTCAATATCGGCCACCTACTATCCTATATATACAATATATTCAAGTTAGTCCAGAATTCCTTTCATTCGACTCTTTGTCAAGTTTTTCTGTCGAGTGCATAGTATGCCATATCAATAAGAGAATTTACATCGTTTTTTGTTATATGTTTATTACTTTTGAATTATTCTAATTTAACAACAGTGCACTAGCTTACGATTATAATTTTTACAAAATATAAAATATAAAACACGGATATTCGATACTTTTCGTACGTATTTATTTTTATTGTAAAGAAATTATCTAAACAAAATTTTTTTATTTACTGTATAACATGTAGCACGAAAAAAGAGCAAAAATTAAAACCTCATTATTACTTTAGGCGCTAATCCAAAATCTTATCAGATTTAATCCTCTTCTAAATATTGGAAGAATCTAGCCTAGCATGAGATCATTCAACGCGAATCAACGAAAGTCCCGAAAATTCGAATGTGATGTTATCAATCTTTCATTACTAAGAGACAATCGTTCGTTTCACTCTTTTTGTCTTTTCTTCCTTGTATATATTCACCTGTCTAACTATTTAGCTCCAAGCAACCATCGAGCAGTGTGATGTGCGATCGTAACCGAAAGAGAGCCAGCGATCATTTGAACAATCGCCTCACCCATTATCCTGTATTGCCTCTTACCGACTGACCCTTCCTCTGACTTTTGCGCCCCCGGCCCTGCCAAGCCAGTCAACCCCTAGCCTTTAGCCCCCCAACCCCCTTTGCCCACATAGATAGAGTGCCATGCCATGCGTGTTCGCTCTTGCTGTAGGTATGTCGCGAGTTTCAACGCGGGGCGTGCAAACGCGGCGAGACGGAGTGCCGGTTTGCGCACCCCCTCGAGACGGTGCAGGCGAACGAGGACGGCTCTGTGACGGTCTGCATGGACGCTGTCAAGGGCCGATGCAATCGGGACCCCTGCCGCTATTTCCACCCCCCTCTGCACCTTCAAGCCCACATTAAGGCCGCACAATCTCGGGCTAGCATTGCGGTAATGCATTCTCTCTCTCTCTCTCTCTCTCTCTCTCTTTCTCTCTCTCTCTCTCTCTCTCTCTCTCTCTCACTCTTTCTATCTATCTATCTTTCTCTCTCTTTATCTCTATCTTTCTTTTCTATCTTACTTTTTCTTTCTTTACTTCCATTTCTCACATTTTCCTTCTCTTCTCTATAACATTAACTCTCGTCACGGTTATATTTTTCTTTTGTTGCCTCCGATTCATTCTTTCCATCTTTCGTTTGTGTTTTTGTTCTGCCTTTCCTAAATATTTTCTCTAATTTGATTTGACGACTGGTTTGAGTATCTCGACCAGTATTTCCATCTTTGCGTAATAACAAAGTCCATTATCTTGTCTCCTATCAAATCTTTTCTGGGTCCTTAGACGACACAGAGAATTTCCTTCTTGTTTCTTTTTTATCACACATAGAAGATATCCGATCTGTTTTTATTTCTCCATTCTGATTGTCGGTGAATTGTGACAGAATTCTAGTTTACTGACGAAATATAATATAGTATTAATTGTAAAAAATTATAGCAAAATGTTAATTTAGCACAATTCAGAAAAATACTTTGCGATTCTGCATGGTTTCTGTCGTCAAAACACCGACGCTTCTTACCACATTCTGTCTCAACGTGATTGTCCCATTAAACAAAATCTTGAATAAATATAAATGGTTTAATAAATATAAAGTTTACATTTTTTATTTTTTTGCGATAGAATTTGTATTACGAAAATGTAACATGTGAAAATTTTTTTTATAACATTTGGGTTAACAGAACGTTGAACACTATAAAAATTTTTGATATTAATGGGTCAAACAACGATACTAATAATCTCTTTTCCTTTCTACTTTCTTCTTTTTCTGCCTCTCTGCCTCTTTCCAGCCTCGACCTCGCAGATCGTTCCATGTGACGTGTGCTTCATGCAAGTATGTCGTCTTTTTTTTTAATTTTTTTTAATTATCTCTCCGCTGGAAATTGGTCAGTGTCAGAAAGGGTAAAGTAGCGCCCGATGTGCTCTGTCCTTTTTACTGTTGGGCTGCGATAATAAAGTACAGTGGTGTTGATGTCGCTTGTCGTGAAGAGGAAATGACGGAAACGTGTACCGCGATATCGAATTTCATTGTTGTTGCAATGCATCTCTACCATTAAGAAGAATTATTTGTCAAATCTTTATCGTAACGTGTGGATATTTTGTCACTGAAATATTATTGTGCTATCATTTTATTGAAAGGAATAAATACTAATTGAATGTTGTTATATTGAACATCATATAAATGTAGCATTTCAAATTGATTGAATTGGAGATGAATTAATTTAAACAGATAATTATTATTTACATGTTTCACACACACTTTTTATTAGTTTGTCATTTACGGTCAGTCAAATGCAGCTTTATGTTTCTCAAACAAAGATATCGCTAAATAATATAAGACAAAGGTTTTCTACTGTTTAAAATTTATAGATCAGAAATTAATAATTAAAATTAAAATTTGTCTATGACTAAGATTACAAATATATTGCGCTTAATTACCGTCTAATAAGCTTGGAAAGAAATTGCTCTACTATTTTTCTTTTTCTTTTTCATTCGAATATAATTTTTCAGAATCAATCGCTTTTGGCTCCACCTATACTCTCAGATCGTTGATCTGCGCTTTCTCTTTTTTTATCTCCCGTACATTGCTTGATTATCATTACGATTGGATCACCGTCCCACTGTACTTTTAATCTATTGAAAAGTACGTTCTTGAAAAGACAAAAAATTTCAAAATTTCGAAATCGAACGAAGGAAAATATTGATACGTTCCTCGAGATACTCTCGAAAAGACTTTTGTAAGGGACGAGGATGTCACTCGCGGAGAACAAAAGTCTCGAAGTGCACGCATGTTCAACCGCACATTGTTCCTTCTTCCTCCCTTTATCCCCTTTTCCGCACCACACTTTTTTCCCCTTCATTTCATTCGTCCCTAAATCCATACTTCCTTTACTTTCACTCTGTCTCTCTATCACAGTCTCTTTCTCTTTTTTTTTTACTATCGTTTACTGTCATCCTCTCTTTCAGTTTCCTGGGTTTGCGTCGAAGGGAGCTTTTCCTTGCTGCGCTGCTTTTCGCCAATCTACGTCGAGTGTATACGTCGTCGGGCTTCTCCCTTAATCGCAGTAGCCCCTCTACGTGCTTTACACGCTGTTGAACACATATCAAGTTCTCAAAGTATAATGTCCATGCGCGATCTCTGACTCATTGTCAGATATTTGTACACACGACGTCGATCATTGTGCGCGTGAAAAAAAGATTAACGATAGAGTAATAATATTGGCCAATTGTTGCGCAGTGCTCAAGTTGTGTGATAGTTACGCTAGGAGTACGATGAACCGCTATATTTAGTGATTCAAATAATTCATATCAACTAATTTTAATTTAAAAATGATGAAACTATTATAAATGTAATACATTCTTCACACATGCATTCTTTCGATTTACATTCTAACAATTTTTATAAAAACGATTTTTATAAAAATGGAAAACGCAGAATGCGACATCGTCTCCCATGTAACTATCATAAAGACATTTATTTTATTACTTTTTTCCTCTGACTTTTCCTGATTATCTCCTCATCTTCTTATAATGCAATTACTATTTACGATTACTATTTTTTTTTCCAACAATCGTACAGTTCTCGTCCCATGTTTGTCGCTTTTGTGTTCGTCCATATTTTACATCTCCTGTATGATGTTCAGCCGTTTCTGTAGTGTGTAGTGAGTAGTACACGAGGCAAAATTGTTAACATCACAAAAACACCACTGTTCTATTTCTCTCTTTCTAGCAGCCTATCGCAGCTACCCAGGTGCAAAGAACTAGTTGCAATACACCAATCACCTGTTCGGTACCTAGGTCATAATGAATATGAATATTTTCGCAGCCATGTGCACGCTCCATTCCCTTTCAAATTTCAAAATTTACATCATTATATACATTTTCGCATTAGACTGATTCATATTTTGAAATTTAATTCTGATATATGTCAGAGTTAGCGGTATTTGAAATTAGCTCTAATTCAATAATCATTTAATTATATAATTTATTTATTAAAAGTCTCACCATATAATATGTTAATTAAATTTATTAACTATAAACATATTCATACATGAATCATATTGAGTCGTACGATTTATTAATAATTAGCCAATTGGTAGAGTTTTCGATGAATTAAATTGATGTAAAGTGAATATGGGAATAGAACGTGATCACGTCCTTGTAAATAAGATGTAGTTGAGAAAAGATATCTCTCTTACGAATGACACGTACACCACCCTGCTGACAAGCTGTGCTGCACGAAACCCGGCTATCAACCCCGCTGCTGTTTTGCTGCCCCACACAAAACTGCTACACTAAGAATCCCCGAAAGATACGTATATACATAGAAGACAGTGAATAAAACAGTAGAAGAAACAAACAGATACGACGGGTTTGTTGGGAGGTGTGTGTGGGCCACGCGGTGAAATGTCGTTGTCCACTTTCCGTTGTCAAATCTGTCTCTCGTAACAAGTGTGCAATAGTCCGCGGTGACGTTAACGTCTATTACGAAGATCGCGCAATATTCGCAGCCGCGGAACAGCACGAGGATAATCGTTAGCAGCTACTCGCTCGCTCGTAATTCGTTCATTAAGCAAGATTTAAATTAAGAGCCGTTTCAACACCGTTGTCCTCCGACCGCTCCTGGCCGCTTAATTCCGTTCGTCTTCCTGGAAAAAGCTGCGCACGGTTCGATCGAACGTCCCCTTTGCTGTCATTTATTGTCCTCGTTATTATTTCAATTAAACCGAGAGTGATTAATCGCGGTCGTGAAAATTGTCACGGTCGGTCAGGGGTCAACGGTTCGGTTTACGAGTTCGTTCCGGTCGACGAATGGATAATCGGTCGGATCAGGATTATCTTTGCAAACGTGTTTAGTACAAAATGTGACTGGACGGTGGCCGGTTTTCAGAATCATTACGTATTCGTAAATAGTGCGGGATGGACGCAACGTATTCGTTTTCCGTAGACTCGATCACCGTGCTTCGATTCGTGAGCTAGTCTCCGAGATACGAGCGTGTTCATTATCCGGGAAATGGAAAGCAATAAAAAGTAAAGGCTAGAGAAAAAGAAAAAAAAAACAAAAGTAAAAGAGAGAGAAAGAGCGAGAAAGACTTTCAGCGACGTCGCGCGGAAGACCTGCAGCCACACCCGGACACAATGGAGGAAAAGTCTCACATGGATGATTGCGGCAGACCAGCTTGTTGGCAGGGAAGTCTCATTCTCTAAAAGTGGTTTTCAATTTCCCAAGGGTGCATACCGCGTACCGACGAAATCACCTTCGTCCGAATTTGCCTCAGGGGTTACGGATCGCCGTGGATCTTTTAGAGAACGAAACACGGCCACAGAATACGGAAATGCTTGTTTTACCAATTTTCTCCGCTTTATTCCCTTTTTCAGATGGCCCGTCGATGGTTCGACGCCGCGGAAAAATAAAAAAAGATTAGGTTTATCCTTAATTTTCAATTATACGGAAATTCTTCATATAGGTACATGGTCGTTAAGAATATGTAAAATTAACTCGTCTGAGATTTAAAGACAGTAGTATTAGTATATGTTTATTGAGTTTAATAACAATCGTCAAATATTTCAATAATAAGCTACATTTTAGCAACAAATGCATTTGCACGATAGACATGCATTTTCTCTCGTAAATATATGAGCAATCGAGCACGATAACATTTTTTTTTGTCTTGACTGGCACGATTATTACTTGTATGGCTTTCACAAGTTCTTTTAATACAGCCATTCGAATAATGCGTTTTAACGAGTTGATAATGAAGTCTACGGTTAGCTCGATGTGCATTGTCCGTATCGGCGACGCCAATGAGGGCCATGCTGAATCACATCGCGACGTAATGCACTCTTCGGAATTGGTATGCCATAATGAATGTTTGTCAAGTGTCAAGAGTTCCCAAGCACGTAAAAGTGCAGTATCTACCATTGAAATCGCATATATACGACACGCACGAGTCATAAAGACTCGCGCATTCTCGATCTGTACAGAACAAAATCATCGTCGCACATGTAAATATGTACACGCGCTATGCACACACCGACACACACACACATATATACACCACAGACATGTCATAAACACACACCGTTATCCTGCCCCTCAAAGAAGATGCCGACGACAACAGCGAGTTCGAGAGATTTGAACATGTACTCTGATGCTCACAAGAGAATGATGTAAATGAATTTACGAACTAAATCAATGTGTTTTTCGCAAATTTTTCAGGTATTGTAAAGATAGAAAAACGAGAAGTGTGGGTACTAATAGAGACGTTCCTCCTCTTTTGCTTCATTTATAATCTCTTGCACATATTTCTCTGTAATTCTTTCTACCTCCTCACTATATATATAATTTTCTATTTCTCTCTCTCTTTCTCTCTCTCTCTCTCTCTCTCTCTCTCTCTCTCTCTCTCTCTCTCTCTCTCTCTCTCGATTGCCCTCTCTGTTTCGCAAGGCGCCGAAAGGGAAGAGCGAATTGTAGCCGGATGCTGATGCAAAGCGAGAGAGAAAAGTGGAGCGGGAAGCCAAAGAGTTATTTTACATATGTATTTGTATGTATTTTGTACGTGAAAGAGAGTGTCCATACGCAAATATAGATTAGGAGAGGCAGACGCAAAACTAATGAACTTGGAGAGAGTGCCTCGATTATTGCAGGTGTTGCCGCAGTCAGAAACGCCAGCCGAAAGCCCGATGTCGATGGACGATGAAGTGGGACCGGTTCTCTTTTGTACCACGCGTCTCCCTATCTACGTGCCCCTTCCCACGCTCTACGTTTGATTCTGATTTTCCAATATTATTAAGATTTGCGCTTTTCTTTTAGTCACCGTAATACTGCCGTAAATGTGTCATTTCTCTCTCTTCTTAACGTGGATCAAATAACGAATTAGTGCCTATTAGCTCGCAGATTGCTGACGCCAGTCCGTTGGTCTTACCTAAAGCGACTTACCTACTATAATTATTATTATTATTATTATTGATTATCTTTATTATCATTATTATCATCATTGTCTTTATTATTATTGCCATTACTATTAATCGGTGATATTTACACTCGTGTCTTTCTCGTAGAAACTTCTGCTCTGCGAGTCATCACGTTGCTGTATGCAATTTAAGAGAGCAATGCAGTTAACCGATAAACGCGGCGTTAGAAACGAGGAAAATATAATAATAAAATTGCGTTATTTGCTTACAATACGCGACATATATCTTCAACGAGTTCTTTACTTGTTAGAAATTTGAAGCCCATCGCGTTTTAAGCGGAGTGAGAAAGATATAAAACACCCAATTTTGAGTACCAAAAAATATTACGCAACAAATTATAACGAAAGTGTCTTGCTAAATTTTGTTAACCAATATAAATAATTGTATTGGCGCATTATTGTTAGCCGTGTTTATCAGACGATTGCGATTGCGCATCTGACTAAAGCCGTTTGCGTTTTACTCGCACGAGTTCCTGTTCTTTGCTTTTACATCTTTGTGTGTTACAAAGATATATCGATAACAAATTATATTTGTTTATATCTATTTTCATATTCAGCTACTTTCGAAATTTCCTCGTAGCTCGTGCTTCGCGTTAATAAGCGTGAAAGATTAAAACGGTAAAAAATATAGTTGTGGTGGAAACGATCAAGTGGCGTGATAAATGGAAGCAATTATGTCACTCAGGATACACGTGCGAGTAACTCGAGCGGTGCATTTATACCCATCGGGTAATATGTATTGGTGCGCGTCTTATACGCGCGATCGTGTAATAAAAATATCGTAAACCGTAAATTTTCTAAAATGTACATACGTGTGCGCGTATGCGCGTACGTTGTGCACATTTGCCGGCACACAGACACGAGTGTGTGCCGATCAGCGTGATACGGCGGGCCGCGGATAATTCGCGAACACCTGCGTACTTTTCTGCGAAACACATCTACACGCATACGCACACTCATAATAATATATGTTCTTTCTTTTTTTTACATAAAACAAAAAAAATATCGCGACTGTCGTTTCTTGCCTTAGCCTCAACTGGTCTGTTTTTCTTTTTTTGATTTTTATCTTGCCCTCTTCCGCCTGACGATGCTTCTACATGCTTGCTGACAATACCTTCGTGCGCTTCGCTACCTGCCAATTAACGCCTGCGAAACATTGCCAACCGAAACTCGGAAAAAACCGTGCCAACATAAATAATAAAATCAACGCAAATAATATGTACTGTCGACCGATGCCATCGCACGCATATGCCAAAATACGAAACAAAATATATATGCCACTATTATCGCCATCGATTTCGCAACAATTCAACGCAATATACATATATATCAATATGCTACACACGAAAAACGAAAATGTCTCGACTGGGGATGTCTCGGGAATGCCGAAAATGCGGAAACGGATGTGGTCAACGCACGGTGACGCATGGAAAATTATCAAAACAAAATCTTTATATACGCATAAAACATGACGAAAAAAAAACGTGGATCGGAAAAATCAAACAAACGTGTGAAAATGAAAAAAAAAAAATAATGCGAAACGATAACGAAAAATGCAGACGGCGACGATGCCGACGAACGTAACGGGAATGAGTGCGTTGGCTGGCGGAGTATCAGGAGTGCCGGCAGCTGCGATGCCCGGAGGACTTCAAAGCGCCGGTATGGCGAGTCTCGAGCTCGGCAAGAAGCGGATGCGCGACTCCAATGATGATCTGCTAATGGTACCACGGCTTATGCATGAAATACACTTTCCTTTTTCGTAGATGGACTCCGGTAAAGTGGCCTTGACATTAATCAAACTTATTTCTCTTTGCAAAAATCCCCGATACATACGTGTGTTATTTTTAAAAATATTTCATACTTTGATATAAAACAGAAATATTATTTCAATAAAGAATTGATCGATAGGTACAATACAAAAGAAAAAAGAATTATAGCGACGATATATCTTGGATATATACGCGTAACGTGCTATAGATATCATGGTATCGGATATTAGATAAAGTTATAATTAATAAAATTAATTGAGTCGATTTAACGGTTGCGGTATCGGCAAATTTTCGACGTCGTTAAGCAAGATGTAAGAAATTAGCCATTAGTATATAATCTCATGCTAATCTCACAAACTTCCAAACTGACGTTTGCCCGTACTCGCTCGGTGTTGAATCCGGAGAAACTTTCCAAATGGAAAGGTTGAAGCTCATGTCTGCCGTCGTAAACGTAATCGACTTCTGCCAGTCTCGTATTATGAATGACACCGCGATTTTGCGGTGCAGTAAAGTTCGGACGATCGCGACGAAACGATTCAGGCCATTTTCTGGAGATTCCAGGTAGTCGTATCTTTAAGTTACGAGTATAGTTATTGCGATTGTGAATACACTGCCGAGCGCGCTTAGAGCTCTAGCTCCTGTCTTTCATTTTTATTTCTAACAAGAGTCCCGCTGTTTCTCTATCAGCCAGAAAAGACGGGCGTTCCGAGAGAGAACGTGTTCCAGCCGACGTGTAACTCTAACGATACGAGACATCGCGTTTGTTTAATCCCTTCAGCACTAGCGACGCTATGTGTACGCCATACAATTGAAGTTTATTGGAATACCGGTAACATCACACACGGCGTCATAACTGAAACCTCTATGAGCACGGTGACGCCACATATGGCGTCATTATTGAAACCTCTGTAATATCACCGTGTAGAACATCACCGTGGAAACCTTTACGATACCGATGGCATATAGTATACGATACGATATCATACGATATCATGATTGAAATCTTTTTCATACCAACGTAATGGCATTATCTGTAATGGCATAATCTGTAAACAATTTTATTAATATTAATAACATATATGAATTCATGTACATGAGTAAAAAAATTCTGTTTTATACTTAAAGTCATTTTCCAAAAAAATTATTTATTGCTGAAGGGATTGTATTTTTTGAGTTACATTATATTCGGTCCATTTATCTTAACGCGCAACATTTATTCTCGTATCGAGTTGTACACGATACGTATCGGCTTTTATCCAAAAACAACCGTGTAAGAAATTCTAGAGACTCTATCTTTTTTTTCTCTTGATTTCGCTTCCCACTGTCGTTCGTTGCAATGTTGTTCGTACCAGAGCTTACGCCTCGTAATGTATTTATAGATCGCTTACTACTTTTTTTCGATCGTCAGCCACGTGTTTTTAATACCATTCGCAGAAAACATTTCTCTGTGAAGCAATATGTAAATAACGCGTATTTTGAAGTTGTGTCAAATGTGGAGACACGTTAAGCGTGGCTGGTGAATATCATATATGATTTAACGTACACTCACCTTTTGGCGATTTCTCGATCAATGACATCAGTGGATCCACGATCGGATGAAAAAAGCTCATCTTCATCACGATCGTCATCCGCTCGTTGATCGCGCTTACATTTCGAAACACGCACGCACTATTGAAACACTTGAAAAAAATTCAAGTGCGGATGATATGCGTTGAAAAATAAGTCTCTTTAATGTTTGGCGAAATTACGTGATCACGACATGCAATATTTTTTTTGCTTTCCTGTCAAATCTTTTGCATTTGTAATAGATTATTTGTTTCGACAAATTTTATTTCTCTATTTATATAAAGAATTGAAGAAATGCAACAACAACGGTGCCTTGTTAAATTTTCGAGATATATGTATTTGAAAAAGTGTGGATTGAAAAACCGAAGATTCCTTAATGTTGAAAACTTAATGAATTATTGTGAATGCAAAGGGCGCAAAAGTTGACGCAAAAGTGCGCGCGTGCTTCGATGCGAGCTCGGTGAGAAAACTATCGAGACTCTAATCTCCGTACGTCAGGACCCCCTCACGAAACGAAACGGAAAAGAGAGGAAAAAGGGCGAGTCATGAGGCCCTGAAGGCTCGCACTATTGCGGTATGCTACAAATTCCGCGTACTGTGGAGTGCTGCGTCTACGGAGCGTTAGATCTATATAAATTCTGAGCTTGCGCCGATGATGCATGTTGTGCTTAAGCGACTACCGAGGTGATGGTGGACGTAACGTCATCCCCTCGACGCTCTGGACGATGACTGAAGTTTTAACAGTTTTTTTAACGCGGAGGATTGTCGAGCGGACCCTCATCGCGACGCGTTTCGAGACATTGAGAGATTCGCTGTCCGCGAGACGGCCTGTCTTCGTTAGAGTTATGTCGAGTCTGCTAAAGAGCACTGTAGATCGCTTATATACACTCGCTACTTATTTTTTGATACTACCTTTTCTTTTATCTCAGTCTTTACATATAAATATTACATATATATATATATATATATATCGCTCTTTTTCTCTGTCTCTCTGTCGCTCATACTGTCAATCAGGATTTGAACCGCGATCGACAGATTCGTTCGGGCTTGCGACGTGATTTTATCCATGTGCAACTTTCTAACTTCGAGCGTCAGGATGAGAATGGATTTTCGCTGTACAAATAGGGGTTTCCTACGGAAAGCGCGCATAACTTCTCGGTATATTTTCGGTATGGAGTTTTCAATGCGTATACGCCCCGCGCGCGAAGAGAAAGAAAAAGTGCCTGCAGAAAATTCATATAAATTCATAAGAAGGCAGACTCTTGCTGCAGAAATGTATCAATATTCCAGAACAAGAATTCTAAAGCGTGATAATATCGGAACAGCGAAAACGAAAATGGATTTTCATCGTACAGAATGTATCGTAAGATATGAGAATTACGGGATGTTTTCTTTGGTGAATTTGAAGTTGCACTATTTTCTTCGAACGCAGAGCAAATGGGCGAAGAAATCTTTTTCTAGTGAACTTTAAATAAATTTTATTGCAATAAAAGTTAACTTTCAAAAGATTTTTGCCAAAAATTTTCAATTTGCAAATCTTGTAATATATAACAATTGGAATGAAGAAACAATCGACTCCAAATTTGTTAAGGAAAATAACGTTACCATTATTTCACAGATTTCATAATACACGTTGCATAGTTCTTTTTCTAAAGCGCATTAATTTTTGTTTCACAGTGTTTTGTAAAAATTGGACAAACCTTTGTTACAATGATGTATAAATATATTTTCGAAAATCTTAATAGATAATGTCGCTCAATGTAAACTTTAGAAATTGAAAAAAATACATTGCCTTTTGCGTGATAGATTGCGGTTGCACATTTCCAACTAAACCAAAACGCAATGAGACGCTTGTACGCTTTCGCGCACACGCGCTTACTGGCAACGTTCACAATTACGTTTATTTTCTCCGTTATTCGCGAAGCGCATACGATGAAAAGCAAGCGGAGTCGTTCGCGGCGCAAATTGGGAAGCTTGCACGCAATCTCGCGGCACGAGGATCGTATCCATGCGTCGTTGCGACTCCGAATCCTTAATCGGTGAGCAACCGCGAACACGTGTTAACACGCATATACATATATGTATGTATCTGTGCCACTGCGACAGTATGTTTTACCCCGGCTACTTCACTATCAGCTTCTGAGCTTCTGCATCTCGTCTACGCAGCTTCTAACTCAAACGTGTTACACCTCGATAGAGACTTTGATTTGGCTTTCCCCTCTTTGTTGCGCACACGTCTGTCGCAGGCGACTTACCAAAGTGTCCGCTCACCACGTATCACCGCAAGCCTACCAGCTTTCGTGAATTCGTGTTGTTGCAAGTCTCGCATCTCTTGTCGATATCGCGAAGCCTTTTGTTCTCCGAGCCCAACTCTGCGCCTTTTATTAATATCTCTTGTCGATCGCTCTCCTGCTCTTTTCTTTCTCTTTCTCTTTATCTTCTTTTCTCTCTCTACATCTTTCTCTACAGTCTCTTCATTTTGTCCGCGGGAAAGAAAAATTTGTTCATCTTGTATTTGTATGACGCGGAAACGTGCGCAAAACTTACAGACTGAGCATTAGCGTCGGCATTTATTGCAGCGCGATTCCTTCGCCCTCGCAATAGTCGTACACGATAGGAAGGCGACAGTGCAGTTTTAACGGTTTTAATCGTTTATTAATATATGATCACGGTCTCTCTTTAATCGAGCCGCGCCCGGTCCCCGATATTAACAATGGCTGGTCTTTCTGACACGCTCCCAATAGTAGAAACAGAGGAAAAGTGCAAAAGAAAGAAAGAAAGAAAGAACGAACGAAACGAACGAAACATTTTGCAGTTATCCAACAACGAAACGTCGTCGTTTGGGAACGTCGCCGCAAGCTGCGTCATCGGCACAACTTTTACACACTACCACAACCCAACACCCCTCTCCACCGCGCCACCGTCAACCCCTGTTTCTTTGAGACACGACCCTCTCTCGTTTCCCGTCTCGAAAATTCAATTATACAGACGCAACGCGCCTCGTCCTCGAAATTAGTTGAAACCGATCCTGTCTTTGTTGCAGATGGACATGAAGTCTGTCGGGTCGTTCTACTACGAGAACTTTGTAAGTGCAGAACCTAAACACTGAATCATAATTCATACAGCTGCGATTCGTTTCTTCGCGCGCATCATTTTATTTGTACCCGCGATTAACTTATCTTTTATTAATATGATCTTCCGTTCAAAGGAGATACTTTTACAAAGGAGATTTAAACTTGCAGCGAGATGCAAAAACTACCGAAATTCTTTTTGAGTTGTTATTCAATTCGCAAGCATCGTAAAATGGCATTATCGATATATTAGCGAGATATAATACAGGGATTGTTTCGTCGCTTTTGCAAAACAGCAATAATATCGCTAAAATTATATGACCTCTCTCGGCAGAAAACAGTAACGAAACGATGCGATGTGTTGTTGTTTCGCAAAGATAACGAAATCGCTGGTTAATAATGGCTTATCGATAACAGTCCATCTTACGATATTAGTTCGCTACTCGAGTTATAATACGATTAATTTTGATTGCTTTGTCGCGAACGTCAAACCTGACGTCCCCTGCACGGCTGGATCAAGAGAAACCATGAGCACGCAAAAGAGAACGATATATCGTATTCCCGGCCGAAACGGAGTCGAGGCTTTCACGGAGGAAGCTTCCGCTCGAGTGGCCACACCGCTCACATTATCGCTCGTACTAATCGCAGATATCTTTACAATTCTTTTTGCAGGCCTTCCCAGGGATGGTTCCGTATAAACGACCGGCGGCCGACAAATCCGGCGTGCCGGTCTATCAGCCTACCGGCGCGACGACCTATCAGCAGTTAATGCAGCTGCAGCAGCCGTTCGTGCCTGTGTCATGTGAGTACACTGGAACACCACCCCTACCCACCCAAACCTCTAACCAATCGGTCGTGCAACCCCCGAACGTGCTAAACAACCACCACGCGATGGTGGTGCAGTCCTCCTCCTCCCAGGGAGCTGCTGGCGCTACAGTCAATAACTGCGCCGACGCCAACAATGGCGTGCTGATGGATCCTTGCAACAATCCGCCACCGCCTCCTCCGACCGCTGACAATAACAGTAACAATAGTAACGGCAATAACAAGCAGCCGGTTACAACGCAAAATCACGATGCCGAAAATGCGCGCAACTCCCCCGAATTGAATCACTCGAGTCCCTCGTCATTACAACAGCAACAGCATCAGCAACAGCAGCAGCAGCAGCAGCAGCAGCAGCAGCAGCAGCAGCAGCAGCAGCAGCAGCAACAGCAACAACAACAGCAGCAGCAGCATCAGCATCAGCATCAGCAACAGCAGATGCAGCATCAACAACAGCAGCAACTCAGCCAGTTGACGCTACCATCAGCGATGAGTCCATTGACCTCTATGGCCGGCCTGACCTCAGTGCCCAACATGATGAACATGGTTTCTATGGCTTCCATGGCTTCCATGGCGAATATACCATCGATAACAAGCATGACTTCCATGGGCAATTATAACACAGCCTCGAATATGGCAAGTCTAAACATGCTCAATAGTCTCGGGATGACTTCCGGGATACCAGCTTCTTTCGACCCCGCAACTCTCGCCAAAGAGGTTGCTCAAAAGAACTACGCCAAGGCTCTCAAGTTCTCGCAGACCTCCCAGCCTTACGGCATCAGCCAACTTGCCGCGTTGAATTACACCGGTGTCGCTCTGAACAAACAGAACCTCATGAATCCCACCGCGGCGGCTGCCGCTGGGAATCCCGCGGTGGCGGCAGCTAGTCTGCAAGCCACTGCGGCGACTCCCAGACCCGTCATCTCGAGTCTGGCCGGTATCCCGGGCGCTTTGACCTCACCGCTGTCCGCGGGCATCCTGGCGTACTCCAGACCGCCGCCCACGGCGACCCCCATAAATCCCTATTCTCTGATCAGACAGCAGATCTTGCCGAATCCATACCATGTCCAGGCGTCGATACCGACTATGCCCGGCGCCGGGACCGTACAGACCACACCCTACGTCCAGAATCCATATGCCGTTCTACCCGGAGTCGCCAGCGTACCCGGAGTAGCGGCTGGCGTCGCAGCCGCGGCCGCGGCCGCGGGTGTATCGGCTGTTCCACAAATGCCGCAGATGGGCAATCCGGCGACGATAGCGGCGCAGCCGCAGGTGGCGATCCCCGTTAGCTCCGGAGTGATCATGCAACCGTACAAGAAGATGAAGACGTCGTAAAGATCCTCGCCTCTTCGGCTCGGCTGAAAACTCGTGTCTCTGTTCGGAAGAGTGCTTTTTCTCTCCCTTTAAGCACTTTCCGTTCTCTCCCTCGCGAGAACGAGCGAACGATCGCGAGATAGTATAAATAACGAACGTCATTACCGCGAATTACCATGATTTTACCATTTTAGATAATTCTAGAGTATCTTTACGGTTAACGAACGATGGATCGCTAACCGTAAAATAATAGTTACGTTTCGAATAGAATTTCGTGATTATATTTTCGTAGAGTAGTTTAGTGTCAAATTAATACTGTCAAATTAAATGGGACGGTAGTTAATCGTGGTTCTTGCTTTTTTAGATTAATAAAATACATGAAATCTACGATTTTTTATCTAACAAATAAATATTGATACATTTACATAATTAAATGGGAATTAATCCTAGAATGTTATAATTTCCGAACAGAACTGCACAGCGGAGTTCAATATATAAACTCTCTTTTCATATATTATTATTTAATTATCTTTTATATCTCTTGTGATAAAAGTAATATATACATTCTTTGTAATTTCACAAAATATCGAATTGCAATTTGTTAGCTTTAATTTTTTATTCGATATTACTAAAAATTATCGCGCGCGTTAGATTCATCGACTACATCGGTGATATAATAGGAAACGTCGAAAGACAAAAGTGCAGTTCTAAGATTAATCTCCATTGCCGGTGCTCAAGAAGCAAGAAATCATCGATCCTCGTTCGCGAGAGGGACAGAATGTTTAGCTGAGCGATTGCGAGGCGAGAGGTGAGATGCTGGTATAAAAAAAAAAGAAAAAAGAAAAAAGAAAAACAAGTTCCAAAAATAGATTCATTTTCTAGTCAGACATTGTCGGTGAACAGTGCCTTATTGACCCGATTCCTTTTGGAGCGTTTTGAGCATACAACTGTGAAAGAGAAGATGAATAACGCGAGAAAGTACGGAATTTTTTCCCATCATATTACCTACTTGCTCGCGAATGACTAAGGGAAGAGACGTAACTACAGTTCCGATTTTGTTTCTGTTGAAATGAATATGGAACAACTTGCCGATTAAAATCATGGAAAAGTCTGCGAAAAATCGACACGTGGTTGAAACCGCGTAATGTATTAATTGATTAATACATTAACCGTCTATTTTATTATTTCTTTTTTTTTAATTAATGGCAAATTTGCCATTTTGTATTTCATAGAGATAGTTTAGCTTTATCCATAATTAGCGTTATTTTACTGAAGAGATCTATTCAAAGTTATGTGTCGTTGCGTGACTCCGTTTTGTTTTTTCTTTTAATAGGATAAATTGTAAATAAGTCAATTTGCACCGCCAGATCGGTGCCGCAATATTTTTTATTTCGGAACTACAAATTTCTATGTTATAGTCATTCGTCCAAATTTTAACGTAACGTCCGCTGCAAGCAAAATGAAAACGACACTCGGCCTATGTCACGTTATGTGCGATACTTGCCTTTTAAGTCCGTAGTGCTAATTAGCGTTCGTGGTCTTGAAATTTATAATTATGCGGAGTTAGTTTATTTTATTAAACCTCGATTTGCTTGTTTATATATTATAATATGTTATAATAATGTGTTCGAAATTTTATTTGCTCGCGTATCGTGGAGCGAGGTTAAATAATCGCGCAAATCAGATTGTCGTACTTTAGCGTCGTAGCACATAAAAAAAAAAGAAATTTTTCTTCGTTATCACATAATGTCGGGTATATACGATGTCTGGATTACATAAGGCTAATGCCGTGATATTTGTTAATATTTAGATAGTTGTTTTAAAAGTTTTATTGATTTGACCTGTCTTCTTTCGTTTAGATTAAGAATATATTATGCCTATACGATAACGTATGTTTCCTAGAAATACCTTGCACATCGACGAGTAAACTCGGCTGGAAGGTGCGCCGCTTCCGGCGGGACCTTAGTTGTCCTATTATAGTATACGTAGAATTTAGCATAGGTTTTTGTTTCGCTTACCGTATCTATTAACTTTAATGTATAAGCGTGCTCGAACATAACATACTCTTCTGTCCTTATGGATTCAATTCGGGGGAGTCTGTTGCACACAGTGAACTTCGTCAATTGCGACCTACGAGCTTATGCATTTAACCGAATGAGAAAAGTGCGGCAAAAAATGAGATGAGAAAGAAAGAGATTCACGGACACGCGAATACGTGCGTGGAATTCAAGGGAGAAAGAGGAGAGAGAATGAAAGTGATCGGTCTAACTTTCGGGGCGGTTAGACGGGAGGAGAAACGTCTCGTCGATCACCCTTCGAGGGTGAAAGGAAAACGAGTTCACATGCGCATCGTGGTACACGACCGCACAAACATTACACACACACACACACACACACACCCACATACACGACTTATATGATAGACACTGTGTATATTTTTATTAACTTGCGCGTATAGCGGCAAGAGAGAAAAGCGGTCGCGCGGTATTGAGAGAAGATTCGTACACGTTTTGCGAAAACACGCGGAACCATTCGTATTCACGCAGAGACCTACTTTTCTCTCTTCCGTGTGTCCGCACTCACGTGTCTGCCAGTGATTTGAAAGTTTATTTAAGTTGGAATGTATAGTTAAACATGCATATATATATGTACGTATGTATATGTATATATGTGTTTGTAAATAATTTTTCTTTATATACAAAACGAAATTGAGAGAAGGATATCTGTTGTATGTGTTAGAGTTATATATACATGTGCGGAGAGCACTCGCTGGCACGTATGGTGGAAAATAAACGAAACGGCTGGTCGTATCGTAATTTTCGCGAACTGGAAAACCGAGCGAACGAATTGTACGGCGGTAGAAATTTGTGTACACGAAAACGCGGAAGAATAGAGTGGAATAAGGTATTTCCGAGGATTCTGGCACGTACGCAAACGAAATTTACTTTCAGCGAACCATCGCTCTGCGTGAAATTTATAATATATCTATTTCAAATCGTAAAAGTATAATTTTAATCTTGTCTCTAGTCGTAACGCCGCGAATTGCAATAACTAAGAAATTTATTTGGATTCCATCATTGCATCTCTTTTCGCGACAAGCGCGGCTTGAGAAAGAGAGCGGATGTGTGATATGACAAAGCAGTACATATACTTCTTCAATTCCTCTGATTCTTCCGCGACATTAGAGACAATTTCTTCCCAATGGCACCTACGCAGAATACGCACAAAACTGTAGAGCGCGAAGTCATCTTAATGATTCTAGAGTGGCGATTCTTAGCCCGTAGTGTACGAAACATTAACTTATAGACATCAAACCATAAAATGTGGAGGGCATATATAGTAAAAAAGAAAAAAGGAAAAACAGTTTGCTGTAAATCTCAATGAAAAATATCTCTCGATTACTCACTTATCGTTCCTTACGTCACAATAATCTCTTTAACTTCGCATTTAGAAAAGATTAACATAGCATATTTTTATGATACTCGAATTGTTAATATACAGATATTTCTTCCATTGCTTCAAACTATCTATCTGGTTAAAAACTAAGTCTTCATAGAGTCGTTTATTTAATAATAAATATATTATATAAATATATTATATAAATATATAAATTTATTATATAATAAACTGATCAGCAAACTGATCAATGTATTTTAAACTCTGATTCATATATTCGTAATCTACTATTTTACGATTAATGCAAGAAACGTCGAGTTTTATTTGCTTTGACACTGAGAGTAGATTCTCAATGAGATCTGTAAATCAGTGAAGATTATAAATCACTGCTCTAGAGTCAGAATCGAGAATTCTCAAGGGTACCATGGTCTTCCATAACGAACGCCACGAGAAAATTGTTGGTAGCAAACAGTGTTTCGTACTAGTGAGAGCGGGGGAATTTATTGTCTCGGGGGAAGAAATTGTTTCTAGCCTTACGACGAACGCGCTATGAGCGATTCTTTGTGATAATATGTAATGTATTACACTTATACGTACACTTGTACACGCACACACTACTCTTGCATGCGTTGAAATATAGTAAGAATTAGCCCTTTCAGTGCCTTGTATGGCGTCAATCTAGTAGACGTTATGGTACATTTGACGCCGTACGCCATTGCCATCGGCGCTAAAGGGCTCGAGAGGATGACGATGCACACGGTCATCCGTGAACAAAGTCTTAACGGCCTTCGACAAGCCGGAGATTTGGCGATGATACGCGATCAAGTTTTGTATTCGACTTGATTTAACGTTTATATAAGGTCCGACTTTTAAATAGAGGATAGTGACGGTAGGATCGAGCCTGAAATACCGACTACGGACCGACACTCTTAGGGTTCCTCAACATGATGTCTACAAGTTATATACATACATTAACGAGAGGGTGGCTGGTTTTTTTTTTAAATTCACACCGAGAGCCCGGAATCGCATTCTTGGCTCGACGCGTCGATCCGTGAGATCGATTGTCGTCGTCGCATTGTTGCAATGTAGCAAAGTGTTTCCTTGGAACTGTGATTATTTTATCGCAAGGCTACTACGTACTTCCATAAAAAGAATGTTGGTTATATTTTACTAGAGGCGAAAGTATTCTTTTAAAGAGTATGTATTAACGTAGCGTCTTGTACGGATAATGATGAAGAGAAATGTGAAATGCAATGCCGCGTTTTCGGTGTGACATCGGCTTAAAAACAGCGGAAGTGCCTTCCCCTTGCACTCTATACACCACTGCACACAGAAGACACGTATACAACAAATACCTACCTACCTACATTATTTAAACTCGCGACACGAGAAAGAAGCACTATGATAAAGAAAAAAAAAAAACTTACACTATATACGATTATATTTATATACCCTTATTAAAATAAATTACATATATATATATACACGTATTGTCGCTGTTGCATATAAGTTAACGCGATGCAACGAAGGGAAGGAAAGAGAACATAACTTCGCAAGATTAACTGATTACACATACGGGAGATTATTTTGCGGACTATGTATGTGTATATATACACAGGAACGACACATACACATGTTCGAGTACATTATTACGATGAGAAAGAGAAACGTTTTACGGCATAAACTATACACGCATACAGATAGTATTTATTATTGTGTACTGTACTGTCTCTAATTCTTCATTGTACATTATTATACATATATGTATGTAAACATATATATATCTATATATATATACACACACATACCCAAATTCACACATATGTATAATATTGATATATCGAGAGTACATTACGCACGACCCCGGAAATGCAGATGCAAAAAGAAGTACGACGTATCCTTAACAAATTGTATGCGCGAGCGCGCAAGTCTACTCGAGTTGTCCGAAGTTTCCTCGTATCATCACCGTGTTGTGTGTACTCGCGTTTATATGTGTGCGCCGATACATCAGGATTAATACGTCGTCCTCGCGCGAGCCACGGCGAAAACAGCTGATGATGAAACGCGAAACAGCTTGCGCCGACTCTCGAGATAAAGAGATGTAGTCGATCTCGCAGTCTCGAATGCGTTTTTGCGCGTGCACGCTCACGGGGTTTGTCAAGGAGTCAGCCAGTATTTGTAATAATAATGCTTGAGAAATGCATGAATATTTGTTTTATTAATGCTTCTTCTTATTTCATCTCTTTCTATGATAAAAGAAAAGTGAAACAGAACTTCCCGATACTCGCTAATCCCTTGTAATATTTATATTTATATATACATATTATATATATACTTGTGTATTATTCGATATTGCGCCCATTATTGCTCACAGTCTTAGCCTCGCTTCCTGCTTCCCTCGTTTTTAATTTCCTCTCATTCGGAATCTGTTCAATTCGGTGCTTGTATTATCATCACTTTCTTTCTCCTTCTTTCTCCTGCATATTTTTTTCCTTAATTTTTATTATCATTTCTTTTCGGTTATCATTGTTTGCATACCCGCTGCGATCGGTGTTCTGCGATTCGGCGAATGTTCGCACGAATTAGACACCACGCCGATCGCCTAATACATTCACGATAATTTCTACATTTTTTCCCGCTGACGTCCTTTAACAAAGTGTCCCTTTATTGTTGCGTGCCCTCGGCGGAATTCCTGCCGTTGTTGAATCCGCGTCCACAAACTGTTGCGAATTTCTCTTGCTATGATTCGCGGCTTTTCTTACCGCCGAGAGCACGTAAGTCACACCAAGCACGCGGGTCCTCTCTAAGACCACGTAGATGTTAGCCGCTTTTACTATGGCGAACACCGTAAAAGAGTGCCGTACGACTCACGACTCTTCTTCTCGTCTTCTTAGATTGCTTCCTCCTCCCTTTCCCTATAATCTTCACGTTCTCCCGATTCCGCCCTCACGGCTTTTGCCGCGCTTTAATTGCGACATCCTTAAGGCACGGAGAAGATGTATCTGAACGTATTAATATATTCTCCCCGATCACACCCTGGCCTCTCCATCCTGTTATTCTATACAATCGCCACATCAAGCTCCGTTCCTCGGCAAAAGTGGTTGATCGTCACCGAGAAGAAGGTCGGTGCTCTTATCGCGTTTTATCGTGCTCTCGCGAGTCGTTTATTTCGAACGTGGCGTGAGATCAATTTCGAGATACAAATGATGATAACAATTTCTACTTGTGTTTTCGGTCGCTAATTTTATGCTTAAAGTACGATTAGACTTGTGAAATAATTTTTTAATTAGACACTCGAAATTACTTATGCTACTTTCGTAGTATACGGCTTCTCTATGTTTTCGGGAGACGATTAAAAATTTTGGATTAAAGAATAGACACGAGAATTGTTCAAAATAAAGTTATTATTCCGACATTGGTAATTAAAGCATGTGATGTAACGAACTCGTTTCTCTTATTGCGACCTTTTTCAAATATTCTGATATGCTCCCACTTCATCATCCTGCAGTCCCTTCGTCTCCTCTCCAGCTTTCTTTGTTACTCATCGCTAAGCCTGCGTAAGATGTGCGCGTGTGTGCCTAATGAGCTCTTACATAACGCTTGGCACAATAAGCCTACTGTAAATATAAAATTTCAATGAAAATGCCGAAGATCATGGTTCCAAAAAAATAATCATCTGCACAGTTAATATAAAACTGCATTTCAGAGACGATTATCTTTGTAATGTTGGAATCGTTGATCTTCGCAAATTGCAACGATGCTACGCAATTGTGTGATAAAATACGAGGCGATAAGTGACTTTTTTTTTAAGAATTGGTTTTTTTTTTGTTGGAGTTTGTATAATATTTATACAATTGACAGATCTGTTTATGTAATGTTACGAGAAAAAGATAGAAAAGTTGAAATCTCTCCAATCAATTACAGCCTTGTATTTTATCGCAACAAAATTATTTCGCTAGCTGCTTCTAGTCGCGCCTCATTTGCCGCTTCCGTGATGTTCGGCGGGCAGAGCCATTCCGTAGCGACGTACAATCGGCAAGTAACGCGAGTTATTTTCTTCTTTACATCGTCGACATAACTTCGTTGCGATAACAAAATGGTGTGCACCATGAATGTTCAATTCGGTCGCGATATGTTGACTGTGAGAAGAGCAACCATCTGGGAAAAACTCAAGGTGGCCGATGCAATTTGACGAGTGCAACATGTGATATGTGTCGGGTAAGCTGATGCAACTATGAAAATTTATCGCAAACAAAAGTTTATGACTGTGTTCACGCATAAAACAAATTAATCTGAAAGTGCAGTCGCGACATTCGCGGCGATTTGAGGATAGTCCGTCGTTGCACCCTAATCTCCAAGATACAATGAACGATTCGGGAAAGTAAACGATAAATATACATGTGGAACGCGTGAACTCCAGCGTGATTGGTCTCTTCCGCTATGGTCGAACGGCGGCGATCTAGTTATTGCTTGTTACGCGTTTAAGCACTTATATTAACAGAATTCGAAAGAAGTCGCGTTTATTACAGAATTCTAGTAGTAGTTCTGCTGTACTGTAATACAAATAAGTCATTTTCTGCGCTCGTGGCTAATAAAAATTATATGTGCTTTTGTAATATAGCCATCTCCATGATCCTTACCACATTCCATTAATAATAATCAATATATCGCTGTCTATCTTCTTCTGTGCTAAAGAATTTGAACGCAAGCAACGCTTCTTGCATACCTGCGCCGATATTAAAATCGACATGCAGCACTCTTTCCAGTGTAAGTATCGCAGTAGCACTTTATCGTATCGCATATGCAAGCTTTAGCTTTCATCATTATTTAATCGTATTTATTCTATAATATTATATTTAGTAAGCTGCTCACAGAGTGTTGACACAGAATCGCATACCTTACAGTAGACAGATTCATGTACTTATTCAATCTTACGTCTTTTCTATATGATGTTCTTTAATTAAATAAGCAGATATTTGCGTGTTAAGCATTTTCTAGAAATCAACGTGGAAATCAAATTCGTGAACGAGAACGACTGAAATTTTTGGATACGTGTGTAGAAAATATGACAAATAATTTTTCTCTGATAATATTTATGCGCATAATAGAATATTGCGATTTCAAATATGCATTTATTTTAATGCATTGATATTTTAACGGCATTAACAGAATTAAAAAGTAAAATCTTAGAAAAGATACATTAATTCGAGATAACATTAGAAGGTATAATGAAAAAATAAATTGTAGCAAATGGAATTTAGTATATAAGCATTGAAATTGAAGTTCTTTTTAATTTTTCAGTTTTATTAATTATATATAGATATTAAGTTGGTAAAAAATGTACAGCTTTATAAAATTGTTTAATTTATTGAAAAGATACAAAATTAAAATTATGTAACTATGTAATTGCCGAAATGAAAAAAAATCAAGACGTTTGAAAAAACGTGGTTCCATTTTGCTCGAAGCGATTTTGATTTACGCGGATTTATATTCGATATTCGATATTTTCTAGAAATGCATTGATCGCTCCAAATGGGAAGTCATCTGTACCTATCGCTTGGTCAGACTGTCGCCTCGACAAAACTCGATATACATAAACACTTTTTACTAGCGCATGCGAACACGATGTAAAAACGCCAACGCTTATAGAGGAATGCACAAGAGCGTACTCGTTCGAAGGATTTGTTGTCTATTGCTGTCTCTCCGCTTTCGTGAGAGAGCCACAATGTCAGAGATGTATGTACAATTAATACACATGCGGTGCCATGCACCTCTTCGTTCGTTTGCAGCGCAAGAGATAAATCGGCGTGCGCGTGCGACTTCTAACGACAGGCTCTGTACGAAACGAATGTGCCAGCCACTACATATACGTATTACACATACATACTTTTTTATATATATATTTATCACGATACGCTATCAATGCATGTTGAAACGCGATCGTTCATGATCTCTCTTTCAACTTTCTGTTTCATGCTTGCCTTCGCTGGATACCTACCGCACGTCTTTCAACCGAACATTTACCATTTGATCTCTTATCCCGCCGACGTTCTCATCCCAACTCGACCTCATGCGATCCCAATGCGACGTCCTGTGTGACCTACGTGGCGCCGGTCCAATCCCCTAATTGATCCTGAAACGTTCCACGATCGGTCACAATTCCACAATTTCGGCTCCCACTCGATCCCGATCCCGAATTACTCATGTGGCGATTGTGTGACAATACTTCCACTGTTCGTGCGCCGAAAATCTTCGTGAGAAAACAATTAATACGACGCGTTATTAACACTGACGACTAAAAATGTTCTTTGTCATCTATCCGTGAAACAATTTCACGCGTCCTACGTAAACGACAAACATGTAATGATAACGATGTACGCACGGATCGTCGACATCGTTTGTCGCATACCATTCGCACGGCACTTAAACTCGATGCAAAATCACCAATTATTTTTTTCACGTTCGCTAACCAATCGTGAACGAACTTTGATGATGGGTTGTCGGTGCTTTTCCTTTCCTCCCATTTTTTTTTTCTATTTCTCACAATCACTAAACTCGTTTCGTTCGTTGGTGACCACGCCGAATCGTTCGATAAATATTTGGCAAACGAATGAACGAAATAAAATGCTGTACGAATTCGAACGCCGTCGTGTAACTCGGCGAAAATGGCGGCCTGCGATGATGAAACAAAAAAATAAACGAAATAATAATGCCGGTGAAAATACACGTGACGTATATATCCGTCAATATGCGCGGCGATGATTTGACACACGCGCTCCCATTCTCCGTTTTATCATATATGTCGGTTCGATTGGTTGATTGATTTTTTTCCCCGATTTTCGTCTCTATCTGACGGGCTTCACCGTGCTTCGAGCATACATCTGCATTTAATCTCCCGATTTTAACATATACACATATATAATATGTATTATTATAATGGATATTCTTGAAATGTGCTGGCTTGGTATATGTGCACCGCCGTCGCATTATCTCAAATCCCGCTTGTCATCCGTAAATGAAAACAAAAATCGGAACTAATATCTGTACGGTACACTTTGTATTCGTCGTTCGTCGAATCTAAAATGTATAATAATGCGTGCGAACATGCACTCACTTTACATGGCAATCAACGTCCCGAAATTCACTCCTCGTTCGCACGACCATGCGTGTAAACGAACTCGGGGGAAAAAAAAATAAACGAAACACGCGGGCGCGACGACAAGCCGACGATTTACACTTTCGTTTTCCGTAATTTACGCTTTCATTTTTCCTGCGCTTTTTCACTCTCCACTCGCATCCTAGCATGTTTTCGCGCGCGCATTAATCGGGACGACGAACGGCTACAACTGCAATTTAACCGACGACTCATCATGTTCTTTTGTGGAGTGCTTAAACAACAAAAAAAAAAAAAAAAAACAAAAAAAAACCGAAAATAATGGCAATAACAAAATGAAACGAACGATGTGCACAAAAAAATTTAAAACCAATTGATTAAACAAATTCGATCTCACTGTCGTACATGTCGTACCTGGATGCTCCGAGGACACGCTTCACGCGTGTCTCCTTTGATCTGGTGCTTTCTCCACCGAATTCAACCGACTGTGGTATAATGAATGATCACCAAAAAAAAATATGACCAATACTTGAAAAAAATACCGTACGAACACTGCCTCGTTTGCTGCATGTGGATCGCCTTAGCAGCCTTAGCCACTGTCGGGGCCCAAATGGTCCCCCAAAACGCTCACTGTGTCGTCTACACAGACAGCTGCGGACAGGTAGACTCATTATTGTAACCAGTTTTTTATCCGGTCTCGAGTTTGCATCATAAGCGCTAGTCGAGTAACCGGGTGCGAGTTTTAGCGTGCATGCGTATCGCCATGCTGAAGCCCTTCTGCTCGACGTAAGATTTCCTGAAGATCGCAATCGCGAGGTGACCGCTTCACCGATCGAACTTGAGGAAATCCCTTTTAATTTTCGCATTATTTTCCGTAACGTTGTGCGAATAATGAATTTAGGACTATCGTATAACATTTGCCTCTTACTTTCCTAGATTGATATTATTTTTAAATTCGAGAATATATAGAAATTATACGGCGCTCTGATGCAAGCTCGAACTTTTATTGCTGCTAACCTTCAAAGTTAACGAGGGAGAAGGATAATTGCAGATATCGCTCTATGAATAATTAGTTTTTTTATTCGTGCTCTGTTTAGGAAAAAACTTGATCGCTTAATTGTCTGATTGAGCTGAAAGAGCGAACCATTGTAATCTGCATCTCTCGGTAACTTTGGCTAACACGTAGCTTTCGGGGGCATCTCCCTCACGACTGCTCACCGCAACTATAACTGCGAATAACCACTGCCTTATCTGGTGTTTGTCTATTATTATTATATCAATAATTATTATTATGCTATTTCGAAAGCATTGTCGTCACCTTCGCCCCTACATATATACAAACGAACATGTAACTCACATTCCCATAGCATATACATCTACACATCTATATACACATACATATACACACACGCACACACACATATACATGCACATATGAACAAACCTATCCACGAAAAAAGAGATGCACGCTTCTTATACAGTAATTAGTATGATTAGTACTTTTGCCATTAAACGGTTTGCCATGTATCTATATATATTATACATATACATATTATTATATCTATCATGCCATTGTCTTGAACCGCTTGTCTGATTAACGTTGCGCGTTATTTGTGGATGAGGATATTGTCGGGATGTCTTTTAAACATTTCTTTGTATTCGTTTACGACTGAATCTAATGCTACGTCTGAGAGCAACTTTCATCCTTATACGCTTCAGTATTTATTTGTTTATTTTTTTCTCTCTCGCAGTGCATCTTATCACAAGTAGCATTGATAATATGGACAGCTGTTACGAATGTCGGGCGTGTATACTGCATGTTCATTAATATTATACCACCGTTGACTAAGAAAGCGCGCGTTAAGCAATCAGGAGGCATGAAACTTTTACTTTCAACTCTGTGCAATAGATCTTCGACATAGAAATTATAATTGTTTCTTACTTGTGACATCACTTGTTAGCAATTTTTGTCAACTGTTTGGCATAATTGGACGATTTTTCTAACAGAGAAGTGTTGATTTTCTAATTGTTCAAAAATGTTGAGAAGATTTAAAAGCTTGACAAGAAGACTACAAGTGTTGTAGAATTAAATTTCAAACCTAATAATTTGATGTGTAAATTAAGGATTATGTCTTCGTAAGCGAATTATTCTTATAACATAAAGCATATAATAAAATATATGAGTAAAATTTCAAAACTTTATTTTTACGTCGAGCATTTTTATTGTTTTTACGTAAAAGTCGTTCAACTAAGCCAATCGCATTAACAATAAGTGAAAGTTATAGTGATTGTTCAATTTCTCTTTCGTAAAAGATACATTCATGATAATTTGTTTCATTCATTCCTGGTTGAAATCGCATGCATCGCGTCGATATTTACATAATCCATAATATCTATATTAATTGTCGAGTTCTAATGCGTCGCATACGCGAAAATCCACCGAATCGCGTTTTAAAAATTTGAAGAAGAAATCGATAGGATGTTTTGTCGAAATAGTTCGCATTTTTAAAGGACAATGACAATGGCGTGATTTACAATATGAATGAAAGAACTGGAAGAGTCGACTTTCGTGATAAAAAGTACGCGTTGTTTGTGTTGTCGCTTTCCGAATTAGCATATAGCTGCGAAGAGTCGTGCTAACTGTGCCAAAGAATCGGAGCAAACTGATCTAGATAAATTCAAGCAGTTTTAATTCAGAGATTGCGATTATCTGTGTCTCGAAATCAATTTTACTTAACTAAGAGTTAACATTTTTGTCACGACTTAGAGCAAATGTACACGCAGCTTTCAATCGAATCGCTCATATTCGCTTATTTGGTCAAAGAACGACACAGAGTGTCTCTTATACGCTTGCACTGATTGCTTTCAACGCAATTAACTTCCGAGGCACAGAATATAGAATACATGGACACAGAATAAAGAAGCGCGCGCGATTTACGTCTGAGCGTAATCAATATCAACGATCATTTTCCATTGACAAAGCTTTCCCCGCACACGGAAGACGATCGGATGTACCGATCGCTGCGCGTTGTACTCTGTCGAATGGACTCTTATCTATTTTTGACTAGCTCTGTCGTTATGGTTGCGGAGTCGCAGTTGACATAGTGTTGAACTTATTTGCAGTAGAATATTATTAATTTGACGGCTTACGACATCCCACATCCATATTTATACGATATTGCCGATAACCGCTGACTATCCAACCCCCTGCTGGCCACCGTGGCCGCCTTCGTCACTTTGGTTCGCTAGCGTGGATCACCCGAGGACTCTTCTTCCGTAGCTTTAGTAGTGAGTGAATGTGTGTGTTTCGGTCCTGTAATTCACGCACGCGAATCAAAATCGATGGTGAGTCGGCTTTTGGCAGCACACTAACGCTTGGGTGATGACACTGTAATATCATCGCTGGTACACGCGACCACCCGTCGTCACCTACGTCACCGTCGTAAGATAGAGATCGATGCTTCGCGATGCGTTAATCATATTTGATACGCGTCCGCTCGATTTTTGCGCGAGTGTAACGCCAATAATCACCCAAGCAACGATCCCCCTTCTCCCGGGCCATTATTTGCATGACCAGACTCTGTGTTCGTAGCGAATTATCTCTTATGCAATTGCAAGAATTGTTTATTATAATATGGTTAATATAATAGTTATATCACTTATTACATCACTTACTAGCATTATCATTATAATTATTATTATCGTTGCTAATTAATGCTATTATGATTGTTATTATTCTTATTACTGTTACGTTTCAAACTTCTTTACAATACTTTCATTACTGATGATTTTATCATTATTATGATTATTACTAGTGTGCAAGATAATCTTTCGCCGAGATTGTCGAGACTGATATTGTCACACGAGTTATTATTATTGTTACGTTTTCCGTGATTTCCATATATATATATATATATTTTTTGCACGCTTCTATGGTGAGCCTATGGTATACTTTTGCGCGATAATACTTTGTTTCTTGAATTTTTTTTGTTTATTTTTTTTCATACATCTGTCTGGTAGGTTGTTAATGCTTTGATCTAACGTTTTGCTAACATGAAAACCATACTCTGGAATTTGATGTTTAATCTATTTGCTGCATTTGTCTCTTATACATATATTTCGGATATACGAATAATTCTCCTAGATACGAGTGTACGTGTGTGTTTCCGTGTGTGTGTAAATATAATATGCATACATCTTTTGCCGATGGGTAATAAAAGGAACGGATAGTAGCTGTAGCTGGGTGGAGTTTCCGCTTCACTTGGGTCCTTTATTCGTATTCTTTCGATGGCCAATGTTCTGCGACTCGCATTTATGTCTCTCTCTCTTCCATTTGCCATTTATTAAATGTGAAATTATATTCGCGCTCGCGAAAAATATTGCCCGCTTATGATTGCGGAAGCGGTTCCGACACGGA